CAAGATGGCCTTCGACTGCCCAAGAGGCCCGCCAGAGGCCTCCAAGAAGGCCCAAGACCCCTCCAAGACATCCTCCAGGAGGCCCGACAGCTTGGAAACCACCTAGTCCGATAGCTCGCCCGACTCCGTGTTCCCCGAAGGCTTTCGAAACCCACTCGGGGAACGCGTGGCCCGATAGCTTGGCCAAGCTCAAACCCAGCAACGGCCCGGGGGAACGGTCCGGGGGAACGGTTGGAAAGTCCGGGGGAACAGTCCGGGGGAACGGTCCAGGGGAACGCCCCAGAAACCACAACAACGGCCTGGGGGAACGGTTGGACGGTCCTAAGAGGGCTCCAAAACGTGTCTAGAGGGGCCTCACAGGATGTCTGGACAGGCCACGCGGGGGACGATTGCTGCCGCCCCAAGGGGTCGGCGGTGTGGCGTAAGCCAATTTATCTTGAATGTTCCCTAGGGTGTTGAAGGATGTATTGTTTTTCCCTAGGGTGTTCCCGCTTAAGACGGCCCAAGGAGTCCCCGAACTAGTCCCAGAGGCCTTCCAGATGGCTCCATAACGGCCCAAGAGGCCTTCAAGCCAGCCCCAAGAGGGCCACAAAACGGCCCAAGAGGTCTAAAAAGCGGCCAAGATGTTCTCCAGGACACCTCAAGACTGCCAAGATGACCTCCAAGACGACCAAGATGGCAAACCGCAGAAATATCCCCAAGAGAGCCGAAGGTGGCCCAAGAGGCGCCCAAGATGCCTCCAAGACAGCCCAAGATCCCTCCGAGACGTCCTCCAGGAAAGCCCGAAAGCTCGGAAACCACCTAGTCCGATAGCTCGCCCGACTCCGTGTTCCCCGAAGGCTTTCGAAACCCACTCGGGGAACGCGTGGCCCGATAGCTTGGCCAAGCTCAAACCCAACTTTCGGCCACGCAGGCGCTCCAAAAAAGGCAGGGGGCGGCGGTGACTCGCCGTGGGCGTCTTCGATAGAAATACAGGCATAAGTCACGCAGCACCCAGAAGCAGCAACAGCGACTTGTTCTTCCACAAGGGGTCGGCGGTGCGGCATAAGCCAAAACCTCAGCCTCCTTCTTGGAAGCCTTCCGCCCTTCCCCTACCCTTAGGTCGGGCGTGTCCCCCTTCAGGCGGATTCTGGAGGAACAAATTACAAGTAGTTAACAAATAATCAAAAGTATTCATTATCCCAGTGCGACCCTACCTAGGAGGTGGAGCCTTTAGGAAAGCAACATTAGTAGGAGCAGATAACGCCGTCCTCCTCCTTCTCCTCATCGTCGTAGTTGTAGCAATAGCAGTAGTAGTAGTAGTAGTAGTAGTAGTAGTAGTAGTAGTAGTAGTAGTAGTAGTAGTAGTAGTAGTAGTAGTAGTAGTAGTAGTAGAAGTAGAAGTAGAAGTAGTAGTAGTAGTAGTAGTAGTAGTAGTAGAAGTAGAAGTAGAAGTAGAAGTAGTAGTAGTAGTAGTAGTAGTAGTAGTACTAGTAGTAGTAGTAGTAGTAGTAGTAGAAGTAGTAGTAGTAGTAGTAGCGCCAGAACCACCGACGCCACGCCGTAAGTGAAGCAGCAGCAGAAGCAGGCAGCAAGTCGCCGAGACAACAGCGAAAGCAAGCAGGCACGGAGATGAGGGCGGGGCACTGGGGAGTTCTTTACATCTACATCTATCTCTACACCTACATCTACGTCGACACTTACATCTACGTCTAGATTTACATCTACATCCACACCTACAGCTACATCTACATCTACACCTGCATCTACATCTACATCTACATCAACAGCGAGACTCACATCTACATCTAGATCTACACCTACATCTACACCTACATCTACATCTACATCTACGTCTACACCTACATCCACATCTACATCTACACCTACATCTACACATTCATCTACATCTGCATGTTCGCATTGGTTTTGCTGTTGCTTTGCATTGCCGTTGCTTTTGCTCTTTCCTTTGCTTTTGCCTTTGCCTTTGCTTTTGCTTTTGCTGTTGCTTTTGCTGTGCGTGTGTGTTTGCTTTTGCTTGGTGTTGCTTTTGATTTGCTTTGCTTTGCTTTGCTTTGCTTTGCTATGCTATGCTATGCTATGCTATACTATGCTGCGCTATGTTATGCTGCGCTATGCTATGCTATGCTATGCTTCTGCTTTGCCTTCGCTGTTGCCTTCACTTTTGCCTTTGCTTTTGCTTTTGCTTGGCACCCAGGGAGCGCAACGGGGGGAACCGCGCGTTTGCGTTTACCTTTGCTGTTGCTTTTGCTTGGCTCCAAGAGGACTGGGGGAACCGCCCGGGGCGGTGTCCACTGCCTGGCCCCTTTAAGCCAACAGAGTAAGAACCCTCCTAGGCAGAGCCTAGGTAAGGAAAAATAGTCAAACAAATCGTCACCATACTAGTTTTTGAGTATTTGCTTCTGTTCCTCCTGTAGAGGGACAGGCCCGACTTAACCCTACCCCTCTCTGCGCGTGGACGACACGCAGGTCACGGCCCCCCACTCGTGAGGAGGGCCGCACTCGCCCCCTACTTTCGGGGGCGCGCAAACATTGATTAGCGATCCATGGATTTGGCGCGCGGTCGCCTAATCCGCGGATCGGGGGAGGTGCCCTCCCCAAGATGCGGCCGGTGCCGCCTCGCTCGGCGGCGGGAATCCGCGATTTCAGATGGAAACGGGACCCGTCGCTAATCCACGTCCCCTGAATCCATGTTTGCGATCGCCTGGGCTGCGCGAGTCGGCGTCAAATTTTCGAGCCTGGGCAAACGGTATTGAGGGGCAACGATGGGGGGGGGACTGGCCTACGGAGGGAACATCGACCTGGAAACATTGGCCTGGCAGGCTGGGGCTATCGGGCCCCTATCGGCGATCAATGGTCGATTGGAGGCCGATGCATAACCCCCTGTGCCTACTCCCCCCTATCGTTGCCCCCTATGATCCGTGTTTGCGATCGCCGGATGCTCGACAGGAGCCCGAGGCCCGCAGCCACTCCGGGCCACCCACGGGGCCCTCTCGAGATGCCCCCCCCTCCCGAGCGCCTCGGCGGAGAGAGGGGGGGGCCGGGCGGCCGGAGATCAGCAGGCAGCTTCGAGCCCATCCCCACCCCTAAGATTGGGTCGGGCCTGTCCCCCCACAGGGGGATTCTGGGCGAAAAAATTGAAATACACAAAAAGTACCCCCAAGTGCTCAAGCACAGTCAAAAAATCGTCCCCAGACTATTTGTTCCCTATTTTCGAGTATTCCTCCTGCAGAGGGTCAGGCCCGACTGAACCCTAAGATCGGCAAGCCAAAGACGAGGACACTCTCGGGGATGTGCCCTCGGAAACCGAGGGAATTGTGAGAATCGGCATCGAGATCAGGTGATGCCAATTCTAGCTAGGGGTAGGGACGCGTTTCGAGCTGGTGAGGGGAACCCGAAGCCTTGCTGGGGCTGGGCGGGGGGGCGGAGCGGGGGGCGGGCGGATTGGGCGATGTCCCTCGGCTGCACCTGCCACGCTCAGGTGAAGCAAAGCACGGGCCCCAGGCCCCCGTGCTGTGAGTTCGCCTCGGAAGGGCAGCCTGTTGCGGGCATGCTCTGGTCTGCACGACAGTGCCACGTACGGCTGCACACTTCAAGTACGATCCACTGCGCCGTCCTCAAAAATCTAAGACCCAGATCTCAGGTCGGACCTCCTGGACTCGAAAACGGTGGGGGCACTGGATAAGGAATCCAGGGTCTGGAAGCCAGTGGAACTCAAATCGTGGAACGGCCATGAATATCACCACCGTCCCCATTGGACAAAGGCATCCCCCAGGGTCTACAGCCTCTTGGGAACATTCCTTAACGAACGCCCCCGCCGTAGTGAAGTTATGAATGTGGAAAGGGGGTTTGGCGAACCAACTCGCATAACTGGTCTTCCTTGTGCCTCCCGCCAGCGCCGGGAGGCGCCGATGGATCGAGGAACGCGCACGACGGCGGAACGCCGAAACTGGCAACGGATTTCTGAATGCCCCCCTTCCACATCCCCCTTTCCCCACTCACTCCTCCTCCTCCTCCTCCTCCTCCTCCTCCTCCTCCTCCTGCTCCTCCTCCTTCTCCTCCTCCTCCTCCTGCTCCTCCTCCTCCTCCCCCTCCTCCTCCCATCCACCTCCCTGAGAGGCCTCCCAGATGGAGCCCGAAGATGCGGTCGGAGGATCGCTCCGCATCGCAGATGCATCGCCGATGCATTGGCGGCATCGGCGCGGAGAAAAATCTGGATCCACGTCGAACCGAAGCGCCGATGCATCGGCAATGCGGCGCGACCCGCCGCCCCCGTCTACCCTGGCAAATTTTGGAGGCCTGGACCCCTGGGTAGAAAAACAAAAACTGCGTCAACCGTCAACGTCGTGCCTCGGATGTCCGCGCAGATTGCTCGGATCTGCGCTGGGCCTCCCTCTCTGGCGCGCGGGGCGCGCCGGGGGCGGCGCCAAAGGAGCCGACCCAGGAAGTCCGCGCGGAGCGCCGGAAGTTCGTGATCGTGTATCTGGTGCTCTTCTTCGAGCAGAGGCCAATACCTTGGGCGCAAAGTGCTTGGGGGCGACGAGTGCTGGGGGAAGAAGGATTCGAACCCAAGGATCCCTATCGAAATCCTCCGAAATAGGAGGACTCCCAAGGTTCCGATCGGAATCCTGGAGGTGTGAAGGACCCCCACACATGAAGGGGAAGAAAGGTGCCCCGCTCGGGCCCGAAAGGCCCCGAAAGGTGCCCGAACGGCCCTCTCTTTCTGCTGCCCTCGCTGCCCCCCGTGGACCGCCCCCCTGGCCATCGCTCGGACGTCCATTCCCCGCGCTTTGTTCGGTTTCGTGCGTGGTTTTTTCACCAAATGATCAAGGATGCTCCTCGATGGTCCCCGCCGAAGAGAAAAAAACGCACACGTCCGAGCGATACCAAGCACCGCCCCCCATTGCGCGCCACCCTCAAAACTCCCGCACTCCCGGCGCCCCCAGCTCGCGCACCTTTTCGGGGCCCGCCCGGAGCCCGCCGGTGCAGTGGCGGCGGGGTCACGAGCGCGCCGCCGCGGCCGGAGCCGCCTCGGTCAGGCGCCGGATTTCCTGCCGCAGCGCCTCCAGCTTCTCCTCCCCGTGCCTCGCGGCAGCCCGCAGCTCCGCGATGCCCTGCAACTCCACGCCGCACACCGCCGCCGACTCGCCGTCGGCGGCAGCATCGCGGCCGTGAATTCGGCTCTCCGGCAGGCCGTCCGTGTGCCCTGGCAGGCCGTCCACGCGCTCCGCATCCGCAGACCTTCGGGGCTCAAAACCGTGATGACGGACCACGTGGTGACCTCGGAACGCCAGACGACCTCACCGCGCGGCCCGCCACCGCAGTGTCTCGGGACCTCAGAAGCCCTAGTCCCCTGAGACGTCCTCGCAAAACGGCCCGAGCCCCAAAACCGCGCAGTGACTCCGAATCTCCATCTCGCCATCGCCCGGACGTCCATTCCCCGTGTTTTTTGTTTTTGTTGACTCGATGATCAAGGATGCTCCTCGATGGTCCTCGCCGAGAAAACACGCAAACGTGCGAGAGATGGGGACCCGCGAAGCCCGCTGCCTGGAGCAGGGAGTGCCTGGGGCAGCGGCTGGAGGCCAGCGCAGGGCAGCCATGCAGAGGCCCAGGGGCCCCGCATCCAGCGCCGCCGCGCACTCCGCGCGGAGCGCGCGCCACCTCGCCGCGGCCGCGGCCGCGTCCTTGGCGGCGTGCGCGTTGGCCTGGGTCAGCCTGCCGATCTCGGCGGACTTGGCACGCAGCCGCGCCTCTCGGGAGGGGCAGCGAGTATCCTATTCTCCATGGCACGCCGCCGGCGGGAGGCGACCGGAGCGCTGCTGCTCAGAAGCGCGGCGGGTTTGTCAGACAGAAGCGAAGGAGTAAATCGCTGGTGGGCCCTCCCAGCGGCGGCGTGTCGTCGATACTCCCCCCCCGAACCTCGAGGTCGGCGACCACGTGCTGGAGCTGCTCTACCTCTTGGCGGGAAGAATTATCTGCACAGGCACTCTATGAGGTTTTCGGCGGTCCGCGCGGATCTCTCGGATCGGCGCCAGACCGCCCCCCCTCCATGGCGCATGGAGCGCCAGGGGGCGGCGCCGAACGCGCGGCGAAAGGCCCACATGCGGGTCCCAGCGCCGACCCGACATTCCCGTGCGGACCTCCGAAAAAGTATGTTCGCGCTGGTCGTATTAGACAATTCGTTCTGGGTTGTATGTGGAAAGATATATTTGCGCCAACATGGGATCTACGCATAATACGTCTAGCAACATGTAGTGTGCAGTCCGCATGGTGCAAACAACGTCGTGTAATCTACGTGGTGCAATCCATAGTATGCGGCCAACGGGGTGCATAACATGTTGTGCTCTCTGTGTGGTGCGGCATACGTTATGCAATCCATGTGGTGAAATATGTGCGGGCCCGTCTACACTGCGCAATACCAGTGGTGCCACCGATGAAAAACAATATAGGTGGTGCAAGAACTGTTGTGCATTGGATATGGTGCATTCAAAGCTGTGCACTCTATGGGATGCAAGTTGATTGGTGCGCCGTATGTAATGCAATTGGTGTTGTTCCATCCACGTGTTGTAGCCCACGCGGTGCAATCCATGTGGCGCAATCGATGTTGCGCGTTCTATACGGTGCGACCGATGTTGTGCAGTCCGCGATCTATGTGGTGCACCCTATGTTGTGAGCGATCGGAACTCGCCGCGGGCGGGGGACAACAAACCTCGTGCAGTCGACGTGCTACAATATATGTGGGGCATTCAATGTGGTGCAAGATATGTGGTGTTATATATCTATACATACATACATACTAGAACCACGCGCGCGCTTCGCGCGCTTAGGTTCTTGCGTAGGCCAAGGCTTTGTCACGACAGTGGATTCATTCTCGACGACTCGTACAATTGACGCTTGCCTGTGGTAGCTGCGCGTGATTTTGAGACCGGATCCGTCCAACTCTTGCCCGACTGCGCCATGCAGTATGTGTATATGCGCCATGTGTTCTACATCACTGTCCTTTGTTTGTTCATGACGTTCAATCCTCGCTCAATTTACCTGCGTCATCCTGATACGGATCGCCTCCCCGGTGCCCAATCCTTGGTTGTCTCCCACTTGTTTCTTTACACGCCTTCCTGTCCGTGTCTGCCTTTTAAACGTCGCCTCTCACTCTGCTCTCCTGTTCTATCATTTTCGTTCTTTGTTCCTTGTTCCTCCCTCCGCATGTTCATGCGCGCGCTTGACTTCTAGTCGAATGGACTTCTTTCATCCCTAGTCCCGCTCCACCCCTGTCGTGACTACGCCTTTGGACTTTCACCCATCTCTCTGCCCCCGCACTCTCCTCGCCCCTGCCTTCGTCTCTACTCAACGCTTCCCGGTCGCCACTTCACGCTGATTCCGACAATCCTCGGACGTGAGCCCGGCTTGGCCAAAGGAACGCGCTCTTATTAAAATGCGCCAAACATGTCGGCAATGGGAACGTAATGCAATTGCATATGAACAGAATTGGTACTTCGCCAAAGAATGACTACTCCCGGAGAAGGTGGGCCTGAATGGTCTTGGTATGTCGTGGGTCTTCAGGACTCATGATGGGTCCGCTAAGCAGTGATATGGACCACCTTCGTGCCCCCGCGGCTCCCTCGAAAAGGACTGACTGCTCTATGGCTCAGGCCGCGATCAGCGAAGCGCAAATATATTCGCGCCCCTGCGCGTGACCCACCGGCGTTTTCGATGAAAACCGCACATCCAATAAGCTCACAAGTCGAATCGACGGCGCCCCCCCTGCGATTCCGATCTCCATGGTCACAGTCTCGCAAAAGCCGTGAGCCGCAAGAGCGCGCATCTTGTCCGAAACAGTTCGCACATGCCGGGGTCGAAAACGCTCGATCGGGTTCGACGTGCGCGCGCGAAGCCCGCATGGTAGCATGTCCTGAAAACGTTTGGGAAAACAAATGGTTCGCAGAAGAAGTTGCAAGAGCGCGCGCACGCGTTTGCTTGAACATCCGCGTTGCGAGACTCGGTGTTTCAAGATTTTCAAGTCCTCACGAAAGACAAGTTTTTGAAGGATGTCGGCACGCGCGCGCGACAACGCGCGCGCACACTTCGTCACATTTTCAGCAAGGATTGTTGCAGAAAAACTGATGATGTGTGATACACGACCGCGCGCACACATCATGTGTTGTAAAGGATGGCAGGGGGGGCGATACCCATTCGGCTGGGATGGTACGAGTTCATAACTAAGACGGACGATGGGGCGCAATCGCATGCAAATTGTAATGGGGAGAAAGGGCCCGATAAGTCCGGGGGGGCGGGGGCAGACTCTATTCTCTCTCTCTTTTTTTTTTTTTTTTTTTTTTTTTTTTTAAAAAAAAAAAAAAAAAAAAAAAAAAAAAAAAAAAACGTTTGTGCAACATGTGCTGCGCAATCTATTTGGCGCTGTATTTGTGTTTGTGTGTTTCGCGGCAAGCATGGTGAACACACTGCGTTGTAACCGATCAGCGCGCGCGTCGCTGGTGAATTTATGGGCAACTGCGCGGAGCAATCAAACGGCGGCGGTGGACTGCGACGACGCAGCGATGGGGCGGCGACGGCAGCCGCGCAGCCGCCAGACCGAGGACGCGGCCCAGGCAACGGGCGGCGACGGGGCGGCGACGGCGGCCGCATAGCTGCCTGACCGAAGGCACGGACCAATTCCTCAACGCAGACATAGGCGCCTGGAAGTGAAAGCGCTGCTTGGAAGATGTATACATATATATATATATATGCGCACATTAGGATCGACTCAAGCCCGCCGCAGCCCCATGACCAAACAGCGCAAACCTAACGCGGAGGCCGCGTACAAAAAAAGAGTCGATGCGATGGGGCGCTGGGAGGACTGCCACTTCCCAGCGCGCCAAATCGCTCGACTGGACACGGCATGGGCCTTGCCCACTGGCCCCTGGGGGCGGGGGCAAGGACCGGGCTTCAACCCCCAGGGGCCAGCCGGCCAGGCGGCGCAGAGGAACCGAGGGCCGAAGTCGCGCGCCGTCAAAGCGCAGATCTTAAGGTCCTCGGCGTTTGCCCGGCCCTTCGCGCCATTGTCGAGGGTGCTCTCGACGCGGCCCCACCCCCACCCAAACGTTGGAAATCGTGGCCGAAAGCCCCCCCGATCCGCGAACTCCCTGGCCGAATGCGACGGGTTGGCGCGCGGCCCCCTCGGGCGCGTGAAATTGCACCCGGTTTCTTCGAGCAGGCTTAAGGGCCACAGTGCGGCGGCGCAGCCGGTAGCCCCCAAGCTAGTCCAGCACGCGCTGGGCGGCAACGCGGCCATCCACGCACTGATTGCCGTGGCACCATATTGAGCACGCGTGCCAGCGCATCTGGATGCACGAATCTGTCTTTCGCCGACAGGTAGCCCACGCCCTTTTAAGACGTCGCGCTTGCCGTCGGGCTTCCTGAGGACGAACGACTGCAGTGGGGCACTGGACAGGCGGCTCTTTCTTCAAGGAAAAGGGTTCAGGCATGCTCTTGACGTCACACGTCTGCGCGAAATCGCGCAGTGTTTCCCCTGGAACCGTCGCGAACTGGGCGGGTAATCCTGGTGCGTTGCACTGCCCTGCTGCCGCCCTGTTGACGCCAATGCACTGGTGGTCGTTCACCTGCGTGTCTTCGATGTGCTGCAGCGTCTCGCCGAAAGTCGGGCTCGGCACGTAGTCGGCGTACTCCAAGGATTTCGCAGAGCACCCGTGGTCCAAGGATCCGTGGTACAAGGGGCGAAAGGGTCTACGGCCACAGTCTTCTTCGAACAGAACGGCTTGATGCGTAAATTGCGGATGTGGTACACAGCTCTTCCGCGTCTTCTACGTATCATACAATCGCAAGATGCGCGCTACCATATCGGATAACACACGGACTGTACAAATCATGTGCAAGCGAAAGGCTGTGTTTTCGGGCGTGGAGGTGGGAACCCTTGGGGGCTCCCAAAAATTGCCGGTTTCTGAATTTGTCCGTCTGTCCCCCTCCGCTCGCGCAGGCGCGCAAGAGAGGATTCGGTTGTTGTGCATCCCCTTGGGGCCGCTTTTGTAAGGTACCCAAGACACAAAACTGAAGACCGATGATTGTGATCATCGATGTTAGGAAAGGTTGCTTCGCTGCTACATCGGCTGCTGCGTTAATGCCCGCACTTTGATTCTGGTCATGCAGGTATAGCGGCGTATCCTGTTATCAGATGGGCACGGCCCTCTTCTCCGTCATCCGAGCTGGGCTGGGCTGCTCCTCGTATAGCCGAAGGGGCATCCCATTTGTAGATGCCCTCTGCTGCCACAGCCATGCATGGGGGATCGATCAACAAGGGGCAACCGACAAAACAAACGCACAGTTTCCTGCGAATGGTTACCACATTGTTCGGCAGTCGTCCGTACGCAAAGAAAGGAATAATGTGAACGGAAAAGAATGGGTTCATGGCCGAAGGGGCAATCATTTGTGGATGCCCCTCTCTGCCACATCGAAGCGCGTGCAGGCAGGAAGGAGCAAACATAGTACATCTCATAACTTCCAGGTTGTAAACACGAAGTCCAGCGTGCCTACTCGAGCGCATTGTCTTCGTCGTCGTCGTCGCCGCCGCCGCCGACGTCGTCGTCGTCGTCCTCCTCCTCCTCCCCCTCCCCCTCCCCGCCACACTCGGATTTTTCTCTATGGGCAGATTCAGTAAAATCCATCGGAAAACCCAAGAACAGCAAAAAACATAAAACCAATCCTGGGGAACTTTCTGGGAGCGGAAGGGGGGGGGCGGAAGAGTCCTCCAGGAGCGGTTTCATTATTTTCTGGTTTTATTTGTCCCGAGAAATTCGCTGACTCTGTTTGGGAGGAGGAGCAGGAGGAGGAGGAGGAGGAGGAGGACGAGGAGGAGGACAAGGAGGAGGGAGGAGGAAAAGGAGAGGGAAAAGAAGGAAGAGGAGGTTAACGGTACCTATCACCTAGGTGCGCGCGGCACCTGA